TGATGCATGCAGCGCCCCCACTTGCCACGTGAGGGATGCAGCAAAGCTGCCACTGCTGGCAATATCCCTCTGTGCTGGCAGCATCTAATGATGCTGCCAGCGTCGTTTTGCTGCCAGCAGCGCATGGATGCTTCCAGAACGCTGCTGGCAGCACGGTGGCAGCGTGAGGGCTGTCCTCTACGAGGAGATTCCTCGTAAAGGAGCGGCTCGGCACCTTTGGAAGGGGCACTCTGGCTGGGGGGGGGGGGGGTAGTCGGGCTTGAGCTTCATTTGGTGCTCAAGGAGGTTGAGATCTCAACTCAACCTTTGCTCTCGGCAGGCTTAACTATGCGCAGCGAAGTCCCCGTAGGCACGTCCTCACCTCGCCCTCACGTGCAGGTGAATAACTACGGGCGAATTAACTCGCCTGGTGATGACATCCGTGTAGCCATGGCGAAGAATACGCGCAAGGCGGGAAGATCTACCGCCGCCTCCGGTGCGAGCTGTGACGGGGACGACGACGAGGGCGACGAAGAACACGGCGAAGACGGCGAGGAGGATTGGTCGGAGAACGGCCACGACGACAGCGCTTCGAGGGATGAAATAGCTCCTGCCGACATCGACGAGGACGACTGGTGGAATCGGCCGGTTGGGAGTGACGATGAAGTGGAAGAGTGGCGGGCTGGTGATTCGGACAACGACGAAGGTGCCGATGCTGATGGTGAGCACGCGGAGGCAGCGGCGCATGCAACGGGAGCGACGGTGAATGCGAATGCGGAGGCTGACGACGAGGCGGATGCGGAAGCGAGGACGGAAGAGGAGGCGGAAGCGGATGCCGATGCTGTTGCGCCCGCGGATGTGGCCGCAATTGCGGATGCGGATGCGGATGCTGTGGCAGAGGCGGATACGGATGTTGCGGAGGGAGGTGCTGATGCTGTCTTATTTGACGGTGAAAACTCTGATGACGACCCGTGGAACATCACGGGTGACGACGATGTTCCTAAAGCTGAGGCTGTGTCATCACCTATAGTCCAAGCCGAAGCGTGCCCGCGTGGTGCTCTCTGATGACGACAATCCGGGGGAGGAGTGTCAACCGCGCATCACTACCGCAGACAAGGGGAAAACCAAGGTCGCGGAAGCCCCTGCTAAGGCCACCGTTCGTCGCCGCACAAGCAACAAGAAGCGGAAGAACGACGACGACCCCGGATCCAGCACGGGTGCTGCTAAGAAGAAGAAGAAAACGCCAAACAAGGACGAAATCATGGTCAACGAGGCGCTCGGCAGCGATGATGACTACGCGGAGGATGCAGGCTCGATTCCTTCATTCCCTGAGAAGGCGAAGCTGAAAGACCCCACCCTCCATAATCCCAACTCCTGTCCACCTTCCCCTCGCAGAAAGGACAGTAAGAAAAGGCGACGCGGATGGACCGTACGCGAGAAGCTCAAGTGGACGCGCCGCTACGAGGAGCTCGGCTCCTTGAAGAAGACATCCTTAGAATCTACCACATCCATCGCCTGCATCAGACGCTGGAGTGCGGAGGCTGCTGCGGGCGTCTACAAGGGAGCGGCGAACTGCTGCAAGAGGATGCACGAGGGGGGCCGCCACGCACACTACCCCGACATGGAGGCGGTGTTGTACCGCTACGTCTGCGTGCAGCGCGCTAATGGGGTGGCGATCTCGGTGAAAGACGCCCAGAAGTGGAGCCGCGAGTGGATGAAGAAACACCACCTCGGCAAGAACTAGAACGCGAGCTCTCACTGGAGCCAGCGTTTCCGTGACCGCTGGAACCTGGTCATGCGTGTGAAGACCAAGGTCGGCCAACGGTTATCGGCTGGTGAGTGGTAAAGGCCTTGAATTCGTGCTCGATGCTTGACTGCATATTCCGCGCCCTTTGTTTCTAACCATCCCCTCTTGCCGTGGCATGTGTTCCCTTTGCAGAGTGCGCTAAGGACTGCGAGTCGTTCTGGAAGTTTGTGCGCATCAACAGGGCGCGGCACAACATCGACCTGGCCCGCATCATCAACGCGGACCAGGCGCCCCTCTTCGTTGAGATGCCGGCCGAGAGGACGATCGAGCACTGTGGCGCGCGCTCGGGAGCCGTAAGCCTGATGAACTTGCCCTCCTTGGCTGACGCCCATCTATCCCCTATGTGCATGGCAGGAATCGTATGCCAAGCACAGGACAACGGCTGGATAGACAAGAGCGTTGTGCAGACCTGGCTGACCAAGGAGGTGCTGCCCCATCTGAACCCCCAGCGCGGCCAGAACGCGAGGCGTGCGATGCTGGTGTTGGACTCCTACCGCGGCCACATCACCCAGACCATGCTTCAAGCTTACCGCACGCACAGCATCACCCCTGCAGTGATCCCAGTGGGTTGCACAACCCCTTGACGTCTCCATCAACCGTTGCTTCAAGGCTGCTGTGCGAGCGCGTTACGCCAGGTGGTTCATGCGTGAAGGGATTCACCTGAAGACGAAGGCAGGTGAGTAGCCTTTTGAATTAAACTTCTGCGCTGTTTTCTTTCCATGACTCTAACGGCTCGCTACCCCTGCCTCTGTCCCACCCGCAGGGAACCTGCGGCGGCCTTCGAACCCCGTGGTGCTGCAGTGGATCACGGAGGCGTGGGATCAAGTCCCCAAGAAGGTCATCATTGACGCGTTCCGCCACTGTGGGATTTCAAGCAAGCTGGACGGGACGGAGAACCACCTGGTGATGTCTCACCTGCGCGCCAGGAGCACCACCGATGTCTCCAATGACATGTGCCTTGGAGGAACCACGGGCGACAATACGTGCCTGCTTGGGCAGGCTCCAGAGGAGGAGGAGGAGATGCAGGCGGAGGGCGCGAGGGAGGTGGCAGTGGCAACCGGCATGGATGTGTTGTACCAGGAGACCCCCAACTATTGCGGAGCGGCGGCTGAGGCTGACCGCATGATAGAGCCTAGGGAGACAGCTAGGCATGCCTAGCGAGTGCCAGACATGGGTGTTAGGGAGCCTGCTGTTAGTGCAGGTGAGGAGGCAGTGACCGAGGGGGGCTAGGTAGAAGTAGAGATTCATAGATGTATGCATGTACCCCCCTAAAGTAACTAATGATCGTTTAGAAGATACCTCCTTGTCTATAAGAAAACCCCTAAACCCCATGCTTTGATTATAAGACATATATGTCTTATCTCGTACACACAAATAGGTGTCTTATAATGAGGCTAGCCTGTTTATAAGAGACACCCGGATAATAGACAACCCCTGTCTACTATTCCACACAGTTTACTATCCGGGCGATGACGGTATTAAGGACTTAACGATTAAGACTGCGGGTGTCTTAAGTCTTATTAAAGCCCGAGTCTAGAATGGCAAGGCTTCAAAAATACTGAACTTGAGAGGTGTTGGGCGAAGGTTTGCGAGAGCAATTTTCGCCAAGACTAGAGGCGAAGGTTGAACGCTCCACAGTGAATCACCTGCCACTATATTCTACTTGAGCAAACATGAACAACAGAAACGACAAAACAAAACCGAACCAACCCTCACGCAGCTCACAGCTCGAAATTCCGCCTCGCTTGTAGGGCGCGGTGTGACGTCCCATAGACGCAATGCTGAACAACCTCAAAATAGCACTCGACAACCGTCACCTACCACACAATAATCCTGCGCTTCGTCAGTGCAGCGCTGACAACTTGCAATGGTCATTTATGCTCGTGCGACATCAGAAAGTAGGTATCAGCCATACACAGGAGTAAGCAACAAATCTGTGCCCCAGTCCAGGAGCACCGAGTCGCCAGCAGGATGTTACAACAGAGGCAGGTGCAGTGCAGGGGGGAGTGGCTCGCTGCACGGCAGGTGGGAAACACACACATACGTGTGCTTGGCACTTGCAAGTGTCGCACATGCTCGCATGACATCTATGGTACAGAGGCATGCACGCGTGACATGTGTGCTGTGCTCACCTCGGACGCCACCCGGTCAGCAGGGTGCATGTTGGCCAATGCAGAGTGGCCACGAGTCATGCCCACCAGTGTGATCCCCTCCACCCCCGCCTTCTCGGAATCAGCAGCATACTCTGCAGTGCGAGGGAAGGACAAGGAGTCAGGGATGGAGGGGCAAGGGGCGAAACGGAGGAAAGGTCACGGGGAAACGGAGGGACTAAAAGTGGGAAATCGGAGGGAAGGACACGGGAGAAAGGAGGGAGGGACCAGGGGCGAAATGGAGGGGAGCACAAGGGTGAAGGGAGGGTGAGACAAGGGGGGAAACGGAGGGAAGGATAAGGGGGAAAGGGAGGGAGGGCGTGCATGAGGTGAGGCGCGTGGCAGGAGGATGGGGTGGAATGGGGGGGTGCAGAGAGGCGGGAAGGCAGGGAGGCCCTTGCTGCGGTTAACCCTTACCTGCACACCTGGGATCGCCCACCCCACCCAGGAGTGCCCACCCCACGCCGCCCATCTCACCCCATGGCCCATAACTGAAGAGGCGTGGGAGAGGGCTGTGGAAGTAGCAGTTGTCAGAGGGCAGACTCCCCTCCGACCTCACACCCTATGATGCCCTCCGACCGCCCACCCCACCCAGGAGTGCCCACTTCCACCGCCACCACGCTGATGGCGCTTCACCATTGTCTTCCACTCCCCCCATATCCTACCCCCCATTCCCATTCCAATTCGCCACCTCCTTCCTCCCCCCATCCCCCCCCCCCTTTCCCCCCGTCCATTCCCCTCCCATCCCCCCCCATAATGCTCTACCCAGGGCGAATGAGCAGGGTGCCAATCCACGTGTCAGCGAGACACTGCTCCTGCGAGCTGCGCACACACACACCGGGGTTTCCAGTGGGGAGGGGGGGAAGGGGAGGGGAGAGGGGGTAGGTGGAAGAGGGAAGGGGCCAAGGAGTTGCAGTTGGATGCAAAACCATTGCGTTTCACAGATTTGGACTTGCCCAAGGCATGATTGGGTTTGTGGGAGGATGGTCGGTGCACGTGCTTGCCTTGAACAAACACAGGCAGCAACAGCTTTACACAGTGCAAGGGCCAGCCATGTATCTCACGATTTGGAATGGCTCTTTTTGGTGCCACGCAAGCTTGTGACATGGGCGCGAGGAGAAGTGTGGCTGGTACACGTGCTGCTCGTATGGATTGGGTGGAAGAGGGGAGATGGATAAGGAGAGAGGCGAGAGACGTGAGGAGAGTGCCAAAATGAGATACAGCCCACTCACGCACGTACCTTATAAGGGGTACATGTACATCCACTCATCCTGCACCAAATAACAGGTTCAGCTCACACACCCAGCACCTTATAACGCGGACATCCGCTCACTCACCCAACACCTGCGGCGCCTTCTCCAGCCCTGCGCCAGCAGTTGCTGCCGCAGCCACTCCCCCATCCAATCCACAGCAGGTGGGAGCAGAGGGGCGGAGGTGGAGGAGGGGAGAGGGAGTGGCGGGGGGGGGAAGGGGGAAGTGGTGGAGCGATGGAGGGGCAGATAGGTGATTAGTGCATGGGGAACTGTGCATGGGGTATGGGGCAAGGAGGAGAGGGGATGAGACCACAAAGGAGGAGAGGGGCTGAGAGGGAATGGAGAGGGGCTGAGAGGGAAAGGAGAGGGGTTATAAGGGGAATAGAGAGGGGCTGAGAGGGAAAGGAGGAGAGGGGCTGAGAGGGGGATGAGGAGAGGGGCTGTCCAGGAAAGGAGGAGAGGGGCTGTGAGTGAAAGGAGGAGAGGGGCTGTGAGTGAAAGGAGAGGGGCTGTGAGTGAACATAGGATGATAGGATTGTGGAAGCTGGGTGGAAGTAGCCACCAAACACACCAAGATGCACTATTGATGCACCTGAACATCAGGTGTCAGGTGCACTGGGGTAGGGAAAGTTGGGGCTGAGAAGGAAAGGAGGAGAGGAGTTGGCAAGGACATGAGGAGATGGGCTGAGATGGAAAAGAGGAGAGGGGCTGAGATGGAAAAGAAGAGAGGGGCTAGGAGGGTTTGGACAACAGAGGCAAAGAGGGGAGTGGCTGGAGAAGCAGTGAGGGAATAGAAGATAGAAGCATGGTGGGTGAGAAGAGAGAGTAGAGAGAGAGAAGAGGGGAGAACGGCATGGAGGGAAGTGAGCTACAGATATGATAATAAGAACTCCCATCACAGACGTGAGTGTGCGATGGGAGCGAGTGAGCAACGGAAGTGAGAGAGCAATGGGAGTGAGTCAAGGAAGGACATGGGAAAAGAGGTAAGGGAGGAGAGTGCACGAGATCAACGCAAAGGTGACACAGAGGTAGAACAAGGGGGAAAAGGAGGGGCAAGGGAGCGGGTAACGGAGGGGGGCGGGTCGTGGGCTTGGGGGGGAGGGAGTGGCGATAAGGGGGAAACAGAGGCAATGACCCAAGGGGAAGGGGGCTAGGGGGAAACGGAGGAAGGGCAAATGAGGGAGAGACGGAAATGGGATGTATGGGAGTAGGATAGAGGCAGTGCGGTGGACAGGGGAAGGCAGCGCGACGGACAGGGGAAGGCAGCGCGATGGACAGGGGAAGGCAGCGCGACGGACAGGGGAAGGCAGCGCGACGGACAGGGGAAGGCAGCGCGACGGACAGGGGAAGGCAGCGCGACGGACAGGGGAAGGCAGCGCGACGGACAGGGGAAGGCAGCGCGACGGACAGGGGAAGGCAGCGCGACGGACAGGGGAAGGCAGCGCGACGGACAGGGGAAGGCAGCGCGACGGACAGGGGAAGGCAGCGCGACGGACAGGGGAAGTGAGGGCGCAGTGCCGGGGAAGGGAGAGGCCCGAATGGGCGAAGGACGGGGAGGCAAAGACACACATGAGTGACAGAATTGATAAGTGACGGAATGGAGCGCGACGGGCAGGAGAAGGGAGCGGGACGGGCAGGAGAAGGGAGAGGGGCGAGGAGGAGAAGGGAGCGCGACGGGCAAGAGAAGGGAGCGCGACGAACAGGAGAAGGGAGCGCGACGGGCAGGACCACTGAGCGCGACGAGCAAGGGAAGCAAGGGCACGGGGCAGAGTAAAGGAGCACGGCAGGCAGGGGAAACGAAGGAGCGGGGTAGGGGGCGCAACGGGCGGGAGATGGGAGCGCGACGGGCAGGGGAAGCGAGCACAAAGATAAGGGGAAGGGAGGGCGACGAAAAGGCAGCGATGGGAGGGGAGGCGAGGGCAACGGTACCGCCTCGACGATGTGACATTGGCTGCGACAGTTTGGTTGGGAGTGCCCCACCCGCCTATGGTCGGAGTGGTGGAAGCGGCCGCTCACAAGAGCTCATTGTGAGCGGATGGGAGTCTTGAGCAGGTGACTCGATTGTGTGTCTTTGTGAGAGGATGGGAGTGACGGGTGTGACGGGGGACACAAGACGAACGGGAAAGATGGGACGGACGGGCGGGAGTGAGTGCGAGCGCAGTCAACTACGCTATTCTTTAAGCTATGGAGCCTCCTAGCTATCGTGTTTATTATGGTTAGTTCGACGTTCAAGTTTGCGAATGTATGAACAGTGCCCTGCTTGGTTGGCTTTTGTGGCGAGAGCGTTGGTAGTTTTGCCTGTGTTGATCTCAGCCAATCAGAATTCCCCATCCAAAAATTGTTTCCGATGGTCGCGAGAGTTTTGAAGGCCCAAACCGGGTTACCTTGTTTTTTACGATTTCAGCTTCAAGAATCTTGAACTTGAACCTTTGCCATCCTAGACTCGGGCTTTAAGGTGCGGTACATTGTTGTTCAATAGGTGTTCAAGTTGGAAATGATGAACAGCATCATTCAAGCGAGCTTGAACACCGTTCAAGTGAGCTTGGTCAAGTTTTGGATCCATCTCATCCGGTGGGACGTGGCAAGAGGTATCCCAGTGGTAGCATCCGTTTGGATCTCAAACCGCTTGAGTCAAGGAAATGCGGTGGTGACGCAAAGGTCCTGAAGATAACCGACACCAAGTTCCAGGAGAAGAAGGGGATGTGCAGACACATGAGGGAGCCACAGGAGAATGTCCGGTGTGATCGTGCAATAGCGCTACGTGTGATGATCAGTCCTGAGGAGGGGTTGGCCAAGGAGACCACGACGGAAGATGGAAGCGGCGAGAGGGTGGTGTGGTCGCAAAAGAAACACTGTGATGCACCCAAATCGAGAGTGAAGGAGATGGACGCACATAGGCAGGAAACAACAGAGGATCCTATACCAGACTTAGCAAAAGATCCTAGTCTAGGGTGGACACGAACAATAAGATATAGCATCACTAGATTTATCAACAGATTTGGCATACAAAGCAGATCCTAATTGTGAATTGTCCATATCAAACACAAAAAAACCACAGCTCATCAATGCAAGCCAGTCTTGGGGGGGAATCCATAGGCCCGAAGTGGGCGCCGAAGAGGTCGTCGAGTCGGTGGAAGCAGCACGAAGTGGAGTGATTGGGGCATCCGCAGACGGTGTCGTGCAGAGGACCAGGCAAAATCTGGTACTTGCATGGCCGTTGGAAGGACCACGCAACGCCCAACTGTGGCCACTACTGCGGCCAACGCTCCCTCGGCTAGAAGGTCTCGACTACTGCTGTGAGACCCATTGCTGGAGCTGCTATTATTGCTCTATTGCTGGTGCTACTACTACGGTTGTTGCTGGTGCTACTGCTCCTGCTGTTGAGTCACCGTTGCACCCTGGGTACCAGCACCTCTTGCTGCAATACCCCCAAAACCAGCACTCCCAGTGTCAACACCCCCCGACATACTTGTATCTCCACCTCCTCCACGACCATGAAGACCCCTGTGTTGTTCCCGCCCACCAGAAGCAGTAGAAACATTGGCGACCTCTGTTGTAGCAGAAGGTTCAGCAAGAGCTGCGGAGGCAACTGGTTTAGGGAGGTGGGGTAGAGCGCCCCCCTAAAAAAAAATTACTACCGTAACAATGGTGGAGACAATGGTGCGAAGGCGGGTCTTGATATAAGTGAGGCAAGTTAAAAAAGGATCGAAAGTGAGGTCTATTGGGTGCCTGGCAAGGAGGGCGTCACAGGCACTCACGAGGCGAGAAGGGAAGCGGGTCTCTAGGAAGTTCAGGGTGATACATGGGGGGGGGGGGAGGGGGAGGGGAGGAGGACGTGCGCAGCAAGGTGGTCGCTAGTGCAAGCAATGCGAAAGCTAGCGTCAAGCGGGCAAAGGTGAGTACAGAGATCAACAACATCGAAGAAAAAGCAGGGAGATTAGGGAAGAGGAAAGGCATGAGGAGGCGGCCTAGAGTAGTAGAAGAGGGTGTGGAGTAGCAAGCGACAATAACATCCATGCGTTCCTTCGCTGTCGCGACCTGACGAAGGCACACTTGCTCGGTTGGCACCAGGAGGTGACTAAGAGCAAGGTGCGTATTAGTGTTATGCGACACCCAAATCGAGTACGCAAGCTGGGCCACGCAATGCACCTCCCGCTCCTCCAAGGTGGCCTCTGCAACAAGAGCAGTAGTTCGCTAGGGGCAGGTAGCTCACCCGACACGTAGGCGTACGTGTAAATGCCATCCTGGGGGTGGCTCTTCAGGTGGAGCTGGACGTCGAGCGGCCATGCATCGAAATCAATCTCCCGCCCCTCAGCATCGAGCGGCAGGCGCTATGATGGACCCCCTCCTCATGGCTGCCGGAGGGAGGCACTGTGACGGGCCGCTAGAGGGGGGTCGCTAGAGGGGGGCGGGAGGGGGGGTGGGTGAGGGCATGAGGGATAGCTAGTTAGGTAGACGGGGCAAAACGGAAGTGTGTGACCTAACCTAAAAGCACGATACCATGCCAAGAAACTAAGAGTGAATGAGGAATGAAGGCATACAAAGGGGGTATATATATATCTAGCATACTTGCACCCTCTATAGTGCAACCCAACTGAGCCTAAAGAATACTGGTATACATGCAAATGCATACATGCATGTTAACAAAACCCCCCTCAAGATGACACTTGTAAAAATAATAATGGATCTTGAATTGTAAAGTTAGCAATAATATAAACCACAACCGAGTTTATACATGTTTAATAGAGAATAATATATAAAGAGTACTATCATGAAGAAAAATACCATTCTGCTACAGCATCACGCAAGAACACCTCACCTTCTTTCATGGTGGTCCAAGCACTGCCCACCATTATTCCATGCTTATTCGACCAAGCAAGAAACGCCCTCCTCTTCTTATCCTCCATGTCGCTAACAACTGTCCACATTTTTTGTGAGTATACAAGCACAGCCCTACTTGCATGTAGTCTACACTTTCTACTCACAATGTTAAATGCGAGAAGTTGATAATGTGTTCGTGGAATGGATCGCCCCAGCCTAGGCATAGCCATTATCTCCTGTAGACATTCGTAAGTGAATGCCATGTTATTTGCTGGCAGCTGGTTACCAAGTTGCAGGGCCTTGGCATCAAATAATGAGTTGAGGATGAAGGACGATCGGACGAACGGAAGAGAGTACTCCGGGAAGAAGCAGCGCCATTTTTCGGTTTCATTTGTGGCTGTTGAGAGGGCGAGGTAGGATAAACAGGACATATAGGAACGTGAGACGAACCCGGGCGAATGGTGTGAATAAGAAGCAAATATATGGAGATTGAGAATGAGGGGAGTGACAGAACATTGTGTCAAGGCGGTTTTGACAATTTTGACGTTCTTGAGTCGATTAAGGAAAGTAATAGACGGAGGATGCAGGGGAGAGAATGCAATATGGCAACAAAGAAGTTTCTGGATGGGAAGGAAATAGAGCTGGAAGTGCCTCTGTTCCGGTCAGCAACTGTGCTGCACGAATCCCAAAGCACATGTCTACAACACGCATTGAAACATCACGTCTACAAAGCACATGTGTCACCTAGATCACTCCAGAAATGAACACTTGGCTTTCACATGTCAGCCAAAACCTAATAGCCACATCACGGCAGCACCCAAATCACTGCTGCAGCAATCAAGTTACACCCAACTCGCTTGCCACTCACCTTTGCTGCATCGAGGGTTGCCGATGAAATCGTGCAGCACCACGGATCAAGATTCATAGTGGGAGTAGCAGCGAACTTACGAGAAAACGCTTAGCAAAAGGATCAAGACTTGTGATACTTGTTCCTAGAAATTAAAAGAAAATACCAAAGCCTCCAAACTTCGAAAAACCCTTCACCACAAACTAGTTTCGGCCAAACGGGACAGAACCCCTCCAAGCCTTCATCAGTGCTGCTTCCCAGGTTCACAAGAAAGAGATGCCTCGGGCAGAAGCTAGCTAAGTACCTGCTACTATCTTCGAGATCAGCTTATTGTATACCAACTACCCAGATTACAAATCAGAAGCAATCGCCAACTAAGCAGGGGGGGTAAACCCAATGTGCTATGCCAGCCTTCGCGAAATGTCTTCAACGACTTGATCGGTTCGATAACCGCGCACGTACAAGTAACCTTTGCAGGTTACGTGAACACTTCCAAGCAGTTATAATTCTCTCCACATAAAATCCGCGTAAACTGAGACGACTTTTGCCACTTGTCCTCAACCTTCTTAATCCGCTTGTTTAGGAACTCCTCCAATGCAAGTTCGAGTTCCATCTCCTGCACCTCCTCCGATGCTGCAGCCTTCTTCAAATCCTCGTCAGCCTGCTTGCTCTGTCGTTCCAATTCCCGGATCGTGATGTCGTCCTTGGTGGTAGCGATCTCAGACTGCGCCAAAACAATACAACGCCCCTTGAGCAGTCGAAACTTCTCCTTGGCGGCATCTGAAATCACCAAGTCGGGATCTGAGCTTAGGCGCTTGATGTGGTCTTCCATTCGTGTCGCCAGAGGCGGGACAAGTGCTGTGAGTGAACGCCGACTCTCCTCAACCTCTAATGCTTTAGCGGCGATGAACTCCGTCTGCAACCGTTTCTGATTCTTCAAATGTACTTCAGCCACGGCCGCTGTAGATTTCTCTTTGACGGTGTCGAACTTGGTCTGGAATTCGATTGCCTTAGCCTATGTAGGCTGTAGTGGGGTAGACACTAAGGGGTACAGCTTTCATATTTGTATCTCACACTTTCCTAGTTCATTCATTCCTGTTGTTCCTTTCACATGGTATAGAGCGGGTTCCCACATGGGACCGTTCCTTCCTAAGGGCCCACCATAATTTTTTTAGCTGCCCAACGCCCTGCCCTAATTTTTTTTTTTTCGCGGCCCCTACGTGGCCCCTTTGTCGCCTCGCGCGCCCCTATGCGGCCCCTACACGGCCCCTAGCGCACCC